TTTTTATTGTTTTGATATGTCTGTGTTTCTTGTTGAATTTGAGCTTCAATAAGCTCCTGCGTTCCTATTGGCCCCTCTAGTCTTGGCATTAGAGCCCAAGCTCTGTGAGAAAATTCTCACAGGCGTGAGAAAACGAAGGAAGGCCTCCTTCTTCTCCCTACTGCGCGCTAGCGCCTTAGCTGCAGGTGTTAAAAGTGCTGTTAGTCGATTCCTCGTGGTCGGTTCTCCTAGATAGCGTGCTTTCCTAGCGGTTTCCAGAAAACTCGAAGTTGGTGTTTTGAGGTCGGTTCTCTTAGATAGCGTGCTTTCCTAGCGGTTTCCAGAAAACTCGAAGTTGGTGGTTGCCACGACACCCATAGACACGGTAGGCACCAAGGGCAACACCCGGAGCAGCCCCGGCAAACCCAAAGTCGTTTTCTTTTGCTGCTATGACCCCGGCAACATGGGTTCCGTGACCTGAGCAGTCCATAGGGCTAATCAAAATATGCAGTTAGTACACGCTTGGTAGTACCGAATGGTAATATAAACAACATACTCTGGATCGGGAACGGGTGTATTCTTTCCAGTGTATTCATCGCCGACAAAATCGAACCCATAGCCTACCACACAGCCTTTTGAACAAGTTAGAACTCATCAATGCCTTCATCTTCTTCTACTTACCTTTTCCAAAGCATTTGCCAAGTAGAGGATGGGAATAGTCAACCTTTGTATAAGATTAGCAGTGAGTACTTATCCTCCCATCCCAGTACCTACCCCAGTGTCGATTATCGCAATTTTAATACCAGATCCAGTAATCCCATCGGCTCTTAACCTACCGATTTGTGTCATGACGTGGGGTGGATATTGTCTCGTGATGTCTCTTTTTGACCCAGAAGGATGCAGGCTAGAAGGCTTGGTGCCTGTCCACTTTGTGTCATAGTCTGGCAAAGTATGGTGTTGAACCGGCCATACGCTTTTGACTCCCATAAGTTTCACGATGGCTTCCGAAGCTTTCATGCCATCAGGAACGTAGTTTACTTGGAATGAGAGTCCATGAAAGAATCGTGATTCGAGTTCTAATCGCTTCGATATGTCGACCCCCATTGTCCTCACCTCACCCAAAAATGATGTGATGGTCTATAGCATATATGAGCGCATGAGATACCGAAATTATCGAAATACTTTACACAATCTGCTTGAAGTTCAACAATGAACAGGTCTGAAGAAGGTTCGTCATTGTGCTTTATGCCTTGGATAATTTGAATGCACAGCGCTAGCGCAATTGTCCAAACGAAGAGTAACATGCGCGTCATCATATCTGCAGTATAGTTATGACAAACAGCAAGACACGTAACACATGAAATACAATTCTATGTTGCATTCAGGGAGAATTAGAGTGATCTAATACATCCAGTTATTTGTCAAGTCAACAGGGTTCCTCATTGATGTTTCTGTCTTTCATCAGCCACGGCTTATTCTGCTTCAACCGCGAAATTCACCGATAGCACATCCGGCCCGATAGTCGCACAGCCGCTACAAAGCACAGAGCCTCCGATTGATGAGGTACATAGAATGTCGGTCAATAGTTGGGATGAGCTGTTTTTCGATACGAGGGCTCCACACATACTAACATCTTGTCTACCTCCAGCGGTTTCAATCTTCGAGAAGAAAAAATCGATATCAATAGTCTATCTTTGTTTCCATTCCGCCACTTCCAAGGCTAGTCTATCTTATTTGATAGGTTTGCTTCCATCTCGATTTTGGTGAGAGTAGACTTTTCAACCAGCTACAGGGATGGTAAACCAGTACAAACGACCTAGCTGGGCTTCCTTACCACGAAAAGGGCAGTTGCTCGTTCTGTGCATGATACGAATAACTGAACCTATCACGGTATTATGTCTCAACTCATACATATTTTACCAGCTTCGATATCTCGACCCAACCTTACCAGAGGATGAGATCATAAGACAGGCATCGAATCTTCGGTCAGTCTATATGCTGACTCAATGTGTTTCGTCTTTTCTCTGGGGTCGCATTGCAGATTCACCTCTTGGTGGAAGGAAACTCGCCGTGCTTCTTGCCCTGAGCTGTTCATGTTCGTTAATCATTATCCTAATATTCTGCAAAATGCATAACGCTAATTATTCCTGATCTAAAACTTCAGTCCTTAGCAACCTGTCTCTTTGCTTCATTTCAAGTTACAGACAGGCTCTCGCCATCTATGCTGCACAAGGCTTCTCCAATAATAACACCGCCATAGTAAGGACACTAGTTTCTGAAGTGGTACCACAAAAACGGCAAGTTCTTCCTGTATCTTAAGGTTGATGATTGCTTCATATTGCCGCGATAAGTGCTTGATTAGCTCCTAATTCTTAGTTTTACAGGTTCCAAGCCAGAGCGTTTGTATTGCTGCCGATATGCACCAGCCTCGCATCAGTCCTTGGCCCGCTTATAGCAGGCTTGACAGTCGAAGCCAATCCTCAAACACAGATCAACAACCACTCCTTACTGGATAGATATCCCTACGCGTTACCACCTTTGATTAACTCCGTACTGTTACTGGTGCCTCTATTGGCAACCTTCTTATTTCTTGAAGAGGTCAGTGAGACTATAGTTTCCATTAACACACATATCCATGTACACTTAATTTACCAAAACAAGACCTTAGAATCCTTACGCGACAAATATGACCCCGGAATTGCAATATCAAGAAGACTCGTTTCGTTCTTCAGCTGGTCTAGCCACCAACCAGCGCGTTACGAAGCCATCCGTCTTGATATTGATGAGAACGGAGAAGTGGAGTCTGTTGACAGAACGGAACATGCTGATCAAAGAGGCTCATCAATGCAACTAAGTCATTTGACAGAGGGAAGTAATGGCGACAGCAAGACGGAGTATTTTCTACCAATGTCTCGCACATTTACCAAGAAGATGATGCTCGTTCTATTTGCAGGGGTTCTTCAGGACATGCAGGTCAGCGTAACTAGCGACGCTATGAACAACCTGCTGAGTTTCCCTGTGGCAAGTGAAGAGCAGAAACGTCAAATGGTATTACCGTTTCGGTTCAGTGGTGGTGCTGGATATAAGCCCAGCTCACTCGCGTGGACGACATGTATATTTGGTAAGTCCCTCTACAACTCAGTTCCCCAAAATTTTATACTTCATCACCAATACTTACACCCAAGTTCTATCGTAGGGATATTGGGACTTCCATTCCAACTATTATTATACCCTCGAATTACTCAGAGCCTAGGGGTATTGAAGACGTGGAGGTACCTTATGTTCGCATTCCCCTTGATATGGTTTCTATATCCATACTTTGCGGTTTTGCCTTCGAGCACGCCTCCACCCTCAGAAAAAACGGGATTTTTCATCTGGGGCTTTATTGTGTTCCTTGCTACTATATCAGGGCTATTTGTAGGCTGCGTAATGCCTTGCCAGCTCATACTTGTAGCGCAGTCATCACCACATCCCTCTGCCCTAGCAAGAACCCAAAGCATTGCCTTTTTTGCTTCTACAGCGACTAGAGCGTCTAGCTCAGCTATATCAGGCCGTCTCCTTGCATATGGTTTAGATCGAAATCTAACGGGTCTACCGTTCTGGCTTAGCGCTCTAATGGGTGTGATAGCAATCGGCATCAACTCATTCATACAAGAAGAGAGCGGTTCTTAAGACTATGTAGCTACATTAGTCAAAGCAGCTTCTCAAAGATAATCATACTTTATTACGATATCTTCAACTCAAGTTAAGCACATGAGAAAGCTCTCTACCTCAAGCATTAGATCTCCATTGGGTGCGAACCCTATTTGTATGTATGAAATTTCCACATGAATCATATTCGGTTGAAACTTGAGTCACTCAAGAAATACCGTGATTTACTAAACTGATTTCGCTAGGAACAATCACTATTAGATCCTGGATCATTCTCCTCAATGGCAAGCACTCTTCTATAGAAACTTGAGAACTATAACAGTACGCTACAAAACTCGAGAAGTGTTGTGCAAAGAAATAATACATAAGAGGTAACAAAAGCTCTTAGCGTCTAGAACGAATGAACATTGGGGAGTTATCTTAGGGTTCTTCTTTATTCTTGATCCATCCAAGGACTTTAGTGTAGTTTTTGCATATGTGGTTCTTCTCAAAATGAATGAAGTCATTTGGATCTGACTTGTTCCACTGAATATATCCCATAACCATGTCCACATTCATCTTACAGAGAATTGACTGTTTTAGGATCTTCAAACAGTGTGCTAAAGAAAAGTTAGGTCATGCTGGCATTTGTTTCAAAGCGAAGATAGTTCCTACTGATATGATCTTTGTACCACTGATCTGAGATATTGTGATTCGCCATTGGCCCATGTAATTTATCGTCTTCATGATTGAACCAAAGACGACGCCACGCAGCATCCTGTGTTTTCAATTAGTGTTTGATTGATCGTAATGATGAGAATCTAGGAAAATTACCACGCAATTTGCTTGATGCATACTATCCAAGGTAACCAGGTATCCTGACACTCCATTACGAGTGACCTTTGGTGATTCGGGGAGTATTCCGCGTTCCTGTTCAAGTTTTTCAGGAACAACCACTGTGACACCATCGGAACGTTCAGCCAATGTATCCCAAGCTTTTTGTAGCTTCATCTCATTTGATAAAGCATTTTCAACGGGTTCATCGGGAGTTGAGTTAACCATAACTAAATCCGCTTGAAGGCTACCAGTGTGAGCTGGATATGTAAGTAGCTATTTATAAACGTTTTTGGTAATCTTACATGTTGCATCTAGTGAGCAAGAGCAATCAGATCTAGTGTATCCTTTCATAGAGATGAAGATCGAGATAAGGCTTGTCAAAAGAATGACTGTGGTGTACGAAAGGCCATGCCACAGATATCTATACTTCCACCCTTTACGTGTGGCTATTTCTGCATGATTTCGATGAATTAGTGAGATATTTTCGCCGTCAGTCCATGCGTGTAGGGAAGTCGTTGTTTCAGTAGAAGAGCGGAATCCTTCTGGTTCCGGATCCATCTTGGGAGAGGTAATGTGATAGTATGTACCAATTCAAAAGTCAACAAGACATGTCTTTCTGTGATTTTGATGCGAATCAAAATAATCATCTGTGAGTAATACTACACGCATAATTTTTTCAAGATAATAGGCAATATATGCGCACTCAGCTGACCAAGATCTAAGGATACTCTGAGCATCGGTCCAAACCGCGGAGACTACTTTTCCCATGTACATTCAACGAGACCATGGCGGTGTCATTGTGACATCCGACATTAGGATGCATGGATCGGCGGTGGGTCTAAAAAGAAAAACCGAGAAACAACATATCGCGCTTCTCGCCGTCAACTGGGGTATAGTACACCGCTAAAGGGAGCACAGATATTGCTAATAGACACAGCTTGGACCTATGTGAGTAATCACCGCAACTACAACGCGTCACTCATTGATGCAACATTATCACATTTTTTTTAATCCGAGGTATGACGGAGATGAGCATGGTCCGATTCCATGTTATTCTTGTCATCTCATATGTCTCCCAAGTCCAATAACACCCTTTTTACTTAACGGTTTAGTATGCAGCCCTCAATTTGTGTCATATACGTTTCCATAGAATTAAAGAAACCTCAATGAATGCTAATCAAACAGGTGCATGGATATCGATGATGAAACGCTTGTCCGATACCCTGTTGTTTTCAATCCACTGCACGGCTTCTTTATTGTTCCTGCAAGAATGAAGATGTCCAAATCCGTTGGTTCCTTTGTGATCTCCAGGCCTTGTGCCGCCTTCCAATGTCATATCGCTATTGCAGAGGATTGCTTGCCGAAGATAGTCGAAGCAGTGGTTCGTATGAACTGAACTATGACCCTCTTGAACTTGGTTTTCAGTCCCTTTCGGGCCATATCTTATAACCTGATCGTAGGCATCCATGATGTAGTATAGACAGTGTAGTTGGTGTGTCCAGGAGACTTTCCATAACGGCGTGCCATTAGGATCAAGGAAGGGCTCGCTTAAATCTTTATAACGAGTATGCTCGGGCACATGAACATTACCACCACCCTCTGCATATGGGTATTAGCACCCTTAACCACAAAGGCCAAAAAATTGTCATAGTTAATGAGGTACGTACTAGGTAACAAGTTTTGCCATCGTTGTCTCACAATTTGTGCTTCTGTACTAGAGCTGTAGTTCAAAGTGAAAACGTCCAACTGTGGTTCAAACCTAAGACGCTCTTCTGACACTATAACGACACTGTTAGATTGAAATCACACTATTGTAGATGCGAAACATAGGACTCACATCTTGGAAAGAGATGATTGACGTCTCCCCCAAAATCGATTTTCAGCTCAACCTGAACAAGCAGTCCCAATATAGCGATCAGCAAGATCAAGAACAGAATGTTGATCGAAAACTTTATCCACCTCAAAATCCGAGATTTCCTACTATGGGGGTTAGGGTTTTGCTGTATAAAAGATGCTAATTCATCTGACAACGATTCTTCCGAATATCTTTGAGGCATATTAGGATATGTTTTGTTAGCAAATTCCACAAGCATGAATGGATAGAAAAAGATGAGTTCAGAACAGAATGACTGCGCAATATGTTGTTTGACTCAGTCATACATTGGCTAATTTTCAATGCCAGCTCCAAGGATTGGTAGAAGAGTAACATATCGAAAAATTGTGGGTACCCAGATCAGACTAGAAACTTCGAGACCCATGTTAAGTAAGGGAATTCTCCCGAATAACCTCCATCAATGACTATTAAGGAGGAAGATAGTAAGTATAACAGCTGCGAGGCGTTTTTTGCAAAAAAGTGGGTAGTCCTAAACAAATCCCTCTATCTGATAGAAGTACCAATAGATCGGTGATCTTGATCCCCTTGCGATCTGTAGTTGAGGTCACATGGACCGATGCAAAACCTCTCACAGCGCGTTTGTGCTAGTTATGAGCAATCTATGAACTGTGCATAAAAGGGCCGAATACCTCGGCATTTATGACACGGCTTGAACCAATTCACCTCATCCTAACAACGTCGTATCAAAACTCGCAGAAACTAAACTGATTCCTAGCAAACCAATATACCTAACCGTTTTAATGTGCTTCATTCGAAATTCTCCGACAATGCGACCCATCAAGCCAAAATCTTCATCACATCACCTAAAACAACTTACGGCAATGCATAATTCCAACTGTGGCTATACAGAAGCAACAATGACTCTCCTAGATGAGGAGGTCATATCGAGGCGTGTTACAAATGCGAAGCGATCATTTCAATGGGGGTTGCTTGTGTCTTGCTCGTCAAACTTGATACTACTGTTAGCTTTGCTCTACTTGGTCAAAAGTCCCCTCCAATCTCCTACTGTCTCGAACATTTATTGTACGGTCTGCAACTTTGATTCGCAAGTCACTTATCTAAAGATCACACAGCACCTGCGAATAGCGCGATCCAGTATGAGACCCATACATTTTTCCCTGAGTTTGGGAAAATGCCTTCTGAATATAAGGGTTGGCCAAACGATGATCAAGATGCTCTGTGGGAGGAACTACACTCGAGTAAGTATCAATACTTTCTACTTATGATGCTTCAATAACAAAGCATAGAGGGTCGAGCAGTTCAAATCAGCCCTAAAGAAAATAGTATGCTTTACAACCAGTCGATAAATGTTCCTATAGTTGGGTTCGAAGACAAACATATGATTGGCCTAGACGTTTTTCACCAGTTACACTGTTTAGTATGAGAATCTGGTCTTTAAATCGACGACTTATCTAAATGTGCGAAACAGGACACTCTACGCAAATCGTTTTACCCAAGAAGATACAATATTACCCTTCTCAAGCCAGATGGAATGGTGAACTACGTACCATGGCTTCATGTCGGTGAGTTCCTAGCAATAATCAGCGACATGATGTTTTGGAGCTGACAATTCACTAGATCATTGTATTGAGTCGATTAGACAGTCATTGATGTGTAATGCAGATGTAACCCCTATGCATTACGAGTGGAATGACGAAATCAAGTCTGTCGTACCCAAGATAACGATAACTCACGTCTGTAGAAACTTCGAAAAAATCAAAAAGTGGGCTGCAGATCGATGGGTTGATTGGAAGTGGTCAGACAATCGAAAGGTTGTGGAAAATGGGGAAGTGAAAGATTATTCAGGTTGGGAAGTAATGACAGAGGAACATCCGCTACCTAAAGATTGGGTTGAGAATGAACATCTCAGTGAATTTGTTCAATAGTTGGTCGTATCGAATGGCCTTGATAAATACATAGATCGCCGAATTCCTAGCTTAACCATGATATAAGGGTTTCACCTCCGTTGATTCTGGCCGATTCGTCTTCCATGAATAATCGCAGACTGGGAATTTCAAGTGTAGAAGACTGTTGAAAAGGTAGGGGTTGACATTCGGACGCGCCATCATATTCGTGCAATGCTCGTTGTGGTGCCATTCCGAAGTCCAATTGTCCATTGGCCGGTCGAACATGACAGAACGAAGATATTTCTTCAGAATGAATGAGCAATGTGCCATATGCTGGTACCACGGGACCCAAGCAGCCTCAACATCGCCAGCACGGCACTGTTGGACAAATGACGCGTTGGTTGCAGAGCTATCGTTTGCTGCCCAGGAAAATTCCCATCTATTGTAGGAATTCCAGTCTTGGCCGAGCTCTTCATCGTAGCATTGTGGTGGTACCCAAGCGAAGTTGTGTATCTCGAATAGACATCCCCGTTTACGAGCTTCCTCTGCCGTAGTTCCGCAGTGATTGAAAGGGCGATTTCCCAAGCTTGATTCCTCTACTTCTTTCAGATGTAAGTTTGCTTGACTGATGTGATAAATCCCCGTGATAGTGGCAAAAATAGTGATAGTAGATACCATTACTATAATTATGATCTGCCACTGCCATAGTGAACATGGTTTGGATGATTTTGTACTGTGAATCTCCGTTGCATTCTCCAGGTCTGCAGCACCAACTTTTTGATACCGATGAGCATATTCGGAGGGCATGGCTAAGTAAGGAGTGGACTGGATGAATGTAGAATATTATAGAAGCAAAAATAGATGAGACTGAAGAACTGTTTGCCACAGCTCGATGCTTTCCCAAAAGCTTATCAAAGAGCAGAAAGTCGCGGCACTAAAACTCGGTTCGATCGTAGGATGCAAGTATGAGCTCAAATCGTACGCCCGAATCGAGCCATGCCGCGTTTCTATTCGGCCCATGATACGGAAATATTATTTTATGATTCTCGACGCGAATGTAAGTGGGTAGCACTGACTAATAATCGATTGGCAAGTGATGCGGACATATACACCGTGTGGGTCGGAGCTAAATGATAATATACCAGCGGTGTACTAAAATTTCTCAATCAGTGGCCGTTATAGCCCCGAGACTTCACCAAAAGTGTGTGATCTCAATCGGTTATTGCAAATATTTAACTGCCATTACTTCCTCCGCAAAGGCATCATCAGGATAACTACCGATAGTTGCTCATCATCTTCCTTTTCTTCTCCATATAGTGATTCGAATCTAAGTATCTATATCCACAATGCATTTTTACAAGCTACAGCCAACTGTACTTCTTCTTGCAGCTCTCTGCGCTGAGGCTGCTCCTGTTCGTATGTGTTAAGAGCCCCAAAACCGAGTTTTTGAAGCTGATCGAGATGACATAGCCAGTGGAGACATGGGTAACACTGTGGCTACCAAAACTGATCCTGATCCCAACTTTGCCTACTACAACTTCAAGCGGGACCAGGAAAAGAAGGCGACGGAAAACTCAGCCGATCCTGATCCTAACTTCGCCTACTACAACTTCAAGCGGGACCAGGCAAAGAAGGCAGTCGATGGGACAGCTGACCCCGACCCCAACTTTGCCTACTACAACTTCAAAAAGCGTGAATAGAGGGGCTGGTAGTACTTTAAAATGGCGTGTTCTCGTATTGGGCTATTGGCAAGGTTCCCTGGTAAAGTGAATGGAATGATTGTACATTTCGTAGATAGTACCTGAGCCACTTGCAAAACTGTCAAGACTGCTCGTTCAAGCTCAATACCAAATCGAAATAGATCGCACCAGGGCACATACTGACACCTGACCTGAAACCCTTTACTTGTGTGAGATTTCAAGAAAGTAGAATCTCTCTTTCACCGAAACTAATTCTAGTTCCTACTATAGTTTTACAGGGGTATATCTTAGAAAGCCTAACCTATCATGCTGCAGCTCTAGTGTGATATAAGATGGTAGAAGATGTTATTAGTCATTTCTTCCATGCGTGATTTCGACGTACTGAAGCAGCAGCTTTCACAACATGTCGGCACGTCGCAATCACTTTCAGAATAGATATTGGTCGCTAATAAATAGAGCAATGAAAAGCCCAGCTAGACTGTTTGAGTCTAAGAGGTGTGTGGTAGCGTGAAAGTAAAAACGGAGTAGCTAATATAGACCCTTAGCTAGTCTTAGAGTCACAAGACATCCCCTTGTGTAACCGTACGGAGGTGACTGTCAAAAGTTCTTGCTGACAGGGGTGCATTGATTACCGCCGAAAATAGGGCCGAAGCTATGTAGATCGGTCCCGCCGCCCCTCTTTGTACTCATTGCCACCTTTAAGTTTAATGATTTCTTGAATATAAAACGGAATACGCTCTATCTAAGCTTAAATTTAGTGTTAAGGTAGCTTATCCTAGTACTATTGCTATACTTTTGTCCCTTCTGCCTAACTTTTTAGTGCGCCTCTTCGTGTTGTTTTTCTTTTAAGCTATAGCTAGGCTGCTTTAATAGCGTTAAGATTAGGTGAATTGCCTAGCTATAGGAGCTGCTCTATCTTAGCGTTTTAGTATATAGTTCTTTAAGCGTGGTAGGTATGCGAAGGTGCCTTATCTTCTTAAATAAAGACACGTAGTCTCTCTTTTTAGCACTCCTTTGCGAAGGGAATTAGCTTTAGGATAAGAACTTAAGTCTAGTAACGCCACTAATTAATGCCACCACGACTGCTCTCACGAGCTAGCTTACCCGTCTCTTTTACCTATCTCTATTGTGGAACTCTGCTAGGCTTGTTACGTAATCTAAGCCTCTTTATGCCTGTTATAAGCTCCTACGCCTCTCTTATAAGAGGCTCTAGAGCCTTATTTAACTCTTTAATTTAGAGAGCAGCGTCTCTCTTCTCCTGCGCAGTCTTAGGCCTCTAGACATGGCAAGGACCTTTATAGTTGTACATGAAGCTGTAACGGGCTGAACGCCCTTTGGATAGCTCCTCGATGGAATCTCGGGCCAAGCTGCGCGCGCACCATCTGAACTACGTTCAGACCGAGCAGCGCTCAGACAACGCGCTTAGATACTCTAGCATAACCTTTCTCTAATAAGTAAATAAACACCACGTAAGTAGAGTAGATAGCTTTTTATTAAATACAACCTCTTGTATACCTCGCGAATGCTCCCTAGAGCGCAGCCCCTTACATTTTATATTTAATCCTAATTAGACATAAGCCTTAGGCAGACTATCTTTTAACTAAGTTTTAAAGCGTGTTGTTAGTGCGAGCTAGTAATATAGAGTTAGTGCTGTAATAGGTACGAAAGGCCTTTAGTGTAGCGAGAAGGTAGACCGTTGTAAGACAGTACACCTAGGGCAGAGCTTCGCAGGAAGTTCAGCCGTGAGAGACAGTAGGCGAATTAGTCGCCTAGGACCTGTCTAGGAAGTCCTATTGTGTCTTAGAAAGCTAAGCTATAGGCACAACGTCGCGTAATAAACTACCTAAAGGCCACTTAGGCCTAGTGTACAGTTAGCTAGAAGCGGACGTTGTAGTAAGAAGTCCTGTCGATCCTCTATCGGACGAGGTGCAGGCCGTGCGATTACTCTTAATAGAAGACAAGATCCCACGAGCGAGATAGCAAGACGCAAGTCTTCCTAGGGACGCGACACAACAGCGACAGAACGCTGTTTAGATTCTAGCTAGTAACAAGGACAGCTAAAGGTAAGCCCTACTAGTCCTCACTGACGAGGAGTAGGCCGCAGTCTAGGACTGCGCGAGCGGATCAAAGAGCGACTAGAAGCCCTGCATATTAGCAGGCAAAGAACGAGACGTCCAAAACGAATTAGGCAATGGAGATTAACGTTCTAAACTTGAATGTAGAAGAGCTAGCGGCGTACGCTGCTACTAAGAACTAGGCAGGAGTATTAGATAAAAAGATCCTGCGTGAAATTACACAAATGCTTAGAGAGGACAGATAGAAGGAGGTAGCAATTAGGCCAACGATTAAAGCGGTCGCTAAACGATCGGCCGTCGTGGGAGGAAAGGGCTCACTAAGGCAAGGAGGCTCGCCGAAGGCCAACTAGGATGCCATGGCCTAGATGATGGAGCTGATGAATCGGTTAACAGCCCAGAACTAGGTGCTAACGGAACGGCTCGTGGCACTCGAGCGTAACCAAGCTGAGGGGCGTTCAGAGTCGTCCTATAGAGCCTTCACGCCTCCCCTAGCAGCAGCCGCAATTGCTAAGCCAGCTGCGCGTAGGAACAAGTTCCCGCACCTAGAACTATTTAATAGAGATTAAACAAAGTACGTAGCGTTTAAATATAAGACTTAAGCTAAGCTCTAGCACGAGTACAAAGGAACTTTAAGCCTCGCTTAGATCGAGTATGTGGTTAGTAGGTGTACGGGCAAGGCAGCGGATGTACTTCTACCCTAGGCAATACAGAACTAGAGTAAACGCCACATTGAAGACCTCTAGAGCTTTATGGACTAGCAGTTTAACGACCTATACTAGAAGTCTAAAGCACTTAATCGCCTTTTAACTCTTAAATAAGGCAAGCTCTTAGTAAGAGACTATTACATAGAGTTTAACTGTCTTAAGATTCAGTTAGGCGAGCAGTTTGGCGAAGCAGCTAAGAAGAGTATGTCACAACACCAACTTCGAGTTTTCTGAAAACCGCTAGGAAAGCACGCTATCTAGGAGAACCGACCACGAGGAATCGACTAACAGCACTTTCAACACCTGCAGCTAAGGCGCTAGCGCGCAGTA